AGACAGAGATATATTTCTGACTGGAAACTGGAAAGACATTAAGAGATGAATTGGTTGTGATATGGTGGAGGTAATCTATTATTTGCCATTTAATTGGAGAGAGAAAATAAGTATTAAATTCATCAGTAGTTGGAATTGTACTCATAGTTAAGGTTTTAGTTGATTTATTGTTGTGAAATGACACTTACATATTACTTTTCTTTCACTAACCCAAACCCCTCTCTCCTTTCCTACTTTCCCATATCCCAGTCTCCCTACTTTCCTTCCTCTCTCTTATTTCTCCCCTCCTTCTTTCCTTCCTTCCTTCTTCCTTCCCTCACCCCCTCTTTCCATCCCTCATTTCCTCCCTTCCTACTTGCCTTCCTTCCTTCTTCCTTTATTTTCTTCTTTTTTTTAACATACAGTTATAATAAGCATTCTAATGCATCTAAATTAATTTTTTTCTTAGTAGTTTATCAGGAAATTAGTAATACATTTTCCTCTCAGCAAGCATGTATGCTAATTCTCTCAACACAACTTGGTTCATTTTCTTTAGGAAGACCCACTACATTGTGTGAGACTATGGGGAAAGCTGAAATTTGGCTAATCCGAACATATTGGGATTTTGAATTTCCCCGTCCATACTTACCTAATTTTGAGTTTGTTGGAGGATTGCACTGCAAACCTGCCAAACCTTTACCTAAGGTAGGTGTATGACAGTGGAGAACTTTATGTACCTTATAAAAAAATACCTGATTTTCCTTTAATGTTATAGCCTTAATAACATTAAGATAAATGCTTCTGGAAATCTTCAGTTTACCACTCCAAATCTATTTTCTTCAGCATACGGGTCTTCTATGAGTATTATTTATTCCTTAGGATGTAAAATTGAGAATTTAAACTGAAGAATGAAATGATTAAATGGTGTGTTACAAAAATATCAGTGTGTCTATAATGTGGATAGTGGGTGGAAAACAGACAGAAAACCAACTGTGGAAATCACTAAGGACACCGCCATAGTCTTGATAACAAGCCTGGCAGAGTTATAAACAGGAACATTTTACCCCATTTGAGAGATACAGATGCTTCCATGAGAATCCTTGAGTAAATTCCATAGAATTTGGTGAGAGAAAGTCAGTGTTGAGGGAAGTCACGGAAAAAGGTAGGGCTCCTAGAATTTAATCTTGAGGGTTTATTGGATCGTGGTGACTTTTTCTGTCAGCAAACAGTTAGTGGTAGAAAAATTCCCTTGAGTTGACGATGATACATTTAGTTTTGACCTATTTACTTTAAAAAGACAAAATGATTTTTAGGTGATTTCTAAAATTATTTTGGTAATACAAAGTTTCAATCTCAGCAGGGAGCATTAGAAATAAATTCAGAGTCATCAGCATAAAGTAGAAATCATAAACTGAAAGATTCATATATTGTATTGGTTCTATATGAGCATAATATTAGAGGGTTTTTCTGGAGTGGAAAAAGTGTATATATACCACATACCAAAGTCTTCAAAGAATAAATGTGAATGCCAGAAATGTTAGACAGAAAAAATATTGAGAAGCAAAAGAGAGTAATAGATAAACATGCTAAGAACATTGCATTTAATCATCAATAAGGAGTTAGAAGACAGATGTTCATTTATTTCATTTGTAGGCAAACATAATCTCTTTGGAAAGTTGCAGGATAAATGGTGTTCTCAGAAGAGTTCTTTATTTTTACTTATGGTAAAAGGTACATTTGTGTTTAAAATTTTATTTTAGTATTCTGAATATTCTTTTCTTAACATCAAGTTATGACTGCAAGCAAGTTCTATTGAGTCTTGTTGTTAGAGGAAATAATATTCCAATATCTAAATAAAAACACATAAGAGAAATGACATATCTGTGATGTCCATGGCTCACTATATGATAACCCATGTCACACTATCTTTATCCTCCCACCCCTACTTCTCTCTCTCTCCTTTTGTCTGTCTGTCTGTCTCTCTCTCTCTCTCTCTCTCTCTCTCACACACACACAAACACAGAAACACAATTTCAAAGAAAAAGACATATTTTATCAGAGAGAGTTTTTTCATTCCAAACTCAAATTATCTATTATTATAGACTTTGGGAAATATTAATACCCATGTTGGATTGTATTTATGATGAAAGAATTATGCCAGTCCTTGGATACACAGAATGAAAAGCAATGAGAGACAGTCAAATAAAAGATGCAAATCAGTATGGTAGGTGTACATGTTTCATTTGTGTGTTATTTTACTCAATCGGCTATCTGTTTGGAAGATGAATCAGAATGGTAAGACACCAATTCCTGGAATTTCAGAGCCATTCTACTGATGTTAACTAATCTAAAAGTAACAGTCAACTTTCACCTAAGATATCATCCTCCCCCTAATAACTTCAATAGTCATAAATTAAGAAATATAGTGACCCAGGATAATCACGAATATAATAGTTGCCAGGGATTGCAGGCTGTGGATCTAGAGGGTGGCGCACATTGTTATGTGAAAGGCCCCAATCCCAAACTTTCCAGGGCCCAGAACACTAAGTGATGACCCAGGGAATTTTATTTGCAGAGGAATTTGTATTTTGCTTTTGTCTGTAGGCTCAAACGAAGGGCATAATGATACTGGCACACTCATATATGAGTTTGTAGATAATTGAAGACTAACTGTGTTATTTTCTTCTTGTAACATATGTTACTATATACATCATATATCTAAAAAATTTATTCTTAAACTTGGTATAAACTTGGAAAGTATAAACTTGAGAAAATGATCTTAAATGTTTGCATCACAGGAATAGGCATATCAAATTATTAATAATTTATTAGCTATATATTGGTGGCAATTCCACCAACATGAGAGGAGCTATACTTTATTTGGTGTCCATTTCTATAAAGGTCTAGGTTCCATGCTTTTGCTTGTCATCACTGATAATATTAAAGACATAAATTTTGGAAACATGTTTCCTCTTAATGAGACTAGATGGTTCTCCATGTCACAAGACACGCTAGTCTATTTCCTCAGACATTTCTTAACTTTACCTATCTAAATGTGTAAGTAAAGCTTTTTCCCCTATGATGCTGCACTGATATAATAGCAAGAATGTTATGTTTAAAGGAAATGGAAGAATTTGTCCAGAGTTCCGAAGAACATGGTGTTGTGGTGTTTTCTCTGGGATCAATGGTCAAAAACCTCACAGAAGAAAAGGCCAATATTATTGCCTTGGCCCTCGCCCAGATTCCACAGAAGGTCAGTCCAGCCTCTTATCCCAGTAGGTAACATTTTAGGAATTCAAGACACGGTGTGGCTAATAGAGCTCTTTCCAGGTGAAAGTTGAAATTCAGGATACACTCAGTATCACTGGCACCAGCTGTCAGTAAAGGTTGGTAAAACATTGAAATAGTGTGTCTAAGCACATTAAATCATTTGCTTACTGAGCTTTGGCACTAATACTAACGTATGCTTTTTCGTAGTCATTTATTTTCATATGAAGTAGATATGAAGGCAAGCTCCCACTGACATTTTACTATTAGAAATCACTGTTCTACACTGACTGTTCCTAAAAGTTCTGATATGTTAGCTCCACAGTCCTGGGAGAGAGTTTACATACAGAGTAGATATTATGCTTTAAAATATACTTTGAATGCACAGGTATTCTTTAGACTCCTTCAGGGTATATTTGGTTTAGAAATAGAAATATAGGTTCACTTAGTTTTTCTATTAATGAATTGAATAATCTTCAGCTAAAAACAAGTAAAATTCTAACATTGTTTTCAAAGAAAATGCATTTTCAAATATGTTACACAATATTAAATTAACTTGAATTTTTGTCACTACAATTTCATATTACTTCTCTTTTCATACTCCCTTTCATGAAACATCCAAGGACTCTTTATGTTTATATATTGGTTAAAGTACATAAATCTTACAATGATTTTTTACCCCCATATTCTAATTAACTGGTCCTGTTTATCTTCCTTTTCTTCACTCACAATCTCTCTTCTAAACAGTGTTAAATGAACAATATTGAAATAATAATACTATATTTAACAGCCTATTACTACAAGCCTTTACAAAAAGGTAGATGTAAACAAATCTCTTGTACATCTCAATGTTTGCAAACTGCCATTTATGTAACACCCTCTCAACTGTCACCTAAGTAGGGTGGCTATGTGGCATCTATATTCTATAATGACTTAAAATGCCCTCATTGTGTGGGCATTGGTTATTTAGCCTTGACAGTACTAGGAAAACACAAGCTTTTTTGTAATCATTTATTTCACTTGCAAAATTAAAGTGTCACCTCCCATAGGTTTTATGGCGATATGGAGGGAAGAAACCAGCCACATTAGGAAACAATACTCGTCTCTATGACTGGATACCCCAGAATGACCTTCTTGGTAAGATATGGGCAAAGAAAAGCTGTGTAGTTGGACAATAGACAAGTTAAGTAACTGTTTAACAGCAAATTAATTCAATACCTTTTGTAATAATTTAAAATTTGACACCCTCTCTTAGAGGAGATGTTATTAAATAATGAGGCATTAATGTTATAGATTCGTGCTCCTTCTGCTTCGCAAATGAGCATAGTCAGGGAAGACTCTGATCACGCTTCGAGTTTCCTTCTCAGTTCAGATACCGCCTCCTCAGCAATGCACTCCCAGAAAGTGCAGAGGGTGTGAATCCTGATTTTCCTGGGATCATCATTTCCTGAAATAGCAATGCCTCATGTGCTCAGCTTGTGTAGGAAATATTTCCATCTTGATGGAGTTATGGCATAGCTTTTTCTTGCTTTCCATCTCTGAAATTCTGCTAATGTCTTCTAATGAAATGTACACCCACTTCTTACTCTATCCCCAAACTAGGTCATCCCAAAACCAAAGCTTTCATCACTCATGGAGGAACTAATGGGATCTATGAAGCAATTTATCATGGGATCCCTATGGTGGGAGTCCCCATGTTTGTTGATCAGCCCGATAACATTGCTCACATGAAGGCCAAAGGAGCAGCCATGGAGGTGAACTTGAACACAATGACAAGTGCCGATTTGCTCAATGCCTTGAGAACAGTCATTAATGAACCTTCGTAAGTACTATTGCTTTTACAGGCTTACCTATGTTATGCATCATACCTGAAAAAGTCCAGTGTTTTTTACCTTTAGAATTGGTTTATTTTGAAATAACAACCACAACATGATCAATATAAAAACCATTTGTTTCATTTGCCAAATGGTTGAAGTGATTTGCTGACATTGGAAAAAACAAGAAACCTAAGACTTCAAATATTCTTTCAATACATTTTCAAAATAAATAATGCTATGATTACATAAATTTTCAGATTTTTTCTGGATAATATGCTTAATTTTATAAATAAGTAAGTGAATAAGTAAATAAATGAATATTTAAATACTATAAAACATACAGTAAGTGCAAAATGGAAGTGATAGTGTGCCTAATATTAATTGTTCAGAAATAATTGTTATTAATACTGAGTATATATCATTCATTAGTCTATGCATAGATACAGAGAGGAAAGATATAGTATACTAAATAATTTTGTCAATATTGATTGATACAATGTGTGAGTTTTTAAATGCAATTTTAAATATAATTTTTATCTGAATTTACTTGAAAAGTAGATGGAAATGAAAGTATGAGCTATATTGAACTTTAGATATATGTCCTTATGCCTTAATTTTTTTCTCTGAAAGATATCGCTAAGTGTAAAGAATTCATAGAGTATATGCATATACAATTTTGAGTCTTAATTTTTGACAACGCATATTAATTTTACCCATTTACAGTTGAATTCCCACTTTGGAATTATCCTCAATTTGTATTATTTACATTATAAATTAACTTGTCAAGATTAATGTCACTTATTTTCCTCACATTTATTTAGTCTCTTTGCTATACTTTAAGGGCATTGGTGTTCACCATTGACTCGGAGATTCTTTATTACAAAATATTTTGGATTAATTTCTTGACTGACTGTTGCATATGTAATTTTCTTTCAATAAATACTCTTGTATGTTGAATTCCCTGTGATCATGTTTAGCTATTGTTGCTCATTGTTTTCATATGAGAATGACTTTTATCTGAATATATTAGTAACATACTTAACTTCCACTTCTTTCCTTCAGACCTGTAAAAATAGCACAGCAACTAGGAAACCAAGTGAAGACATAACTTGCCTTTGAAATACATAGACTCCCAAGCAGTGTTGTCTGAGAAACCTGTAGAGCTATTAACTCCATAGCTGTAGCTATTGTGATGCCAAACTGATTACGGGTTCTAATTCTAGGGAGATGTTTCTATTTACCTTAAAAATGCAAAGTCCATGTACTTGGATGTACGAGTTCTTAAATTACCTAAGTATTTTTATTCAATGTTTCTATTGCCAGTAGAGACACTATATTCCCATCAGAAACATACACATGTGTGCAAAGGAGTGATTATCACAGTGCCAAGATCTCAGAATTGCAAAATGACTTACTAATATTGACTACCAACTTCTTTTGTCTGTCATATGAACTAGCCAGCCATTACAGAACATGCTTATAGATCTTTTAAATGATATTGTGCCACAATATTGAGTTACGTACCATCTTGGTCTTGAAATAATCCTGGACACTATAATTCACATAGTATCACAATTATTTCTGGAAAAATTATGCTATACATTCACAACTGGCTTCTACTCTTTTCCTATGTCTGCATTTGACCTCATTGTGTTAAGAATACATAATATTTCTTCCATGCCCTCCCATTTAATACTCTTAAAATCCTATGCAATTAGCAAAGTTCATGCAAGAGTTAGACTTTTTCTCAACACATCTATGTCCTTTAACATGCATAAAAAGGGACATGCATCACATATTTAGCTTTAGTAAAAGGAAACCTCAAATTCTCTAATTTCTGTCTATGTATTTGCCTTCTAGTTATAAGGAGAATGCTATGAGGTTATCAAGAATTCACCATGATCAACCCATGAAGCCCCTGGATCGGGCAGTCTTCTGGATCGAGTTTGTCATGCGCCACAAGGGAGCCAAGCACCTGCGACCAGCTGCCCACAACCTCACCTGGATCCAGTACCACTCTTTGGATGTGATTGGGTTCCTGCTGGCCTGTGTGGCAACTTGTATAATATTAGTCATGAAATGTTGTTTGTTCTCTTGTCAAAAATTTGGCAAAACCAAAAGGAAGAAAAAGAGAGACTAGGCCAAGAAAAAGAGAAAATAGGTCTTACACATTTGGTAAAGTCCGGAATGGACCGATTCTGTTAAATCGAACCACAAAGAACTTAACAAAAGCACATCTCCATCCTGTTTTCAAATTTTCCATTTCTCTACCTTAGCCTAAAGATAAGCCTAGAATTCAATATGATCTTTAACTAATAAGTGTGTTCCATTGTTCCTTTGTCTTTTCCTAGCTGGCTTTACCCTTTCCTTTTACTTTTCTCACACAGGGACACTACCTAATTTTAAATATGTTCTATTCATAATATCAATATTTTCCTTATATGTAACCTTAAGTGCTGACTAACAGTATACTGGATCTTCGGTAATGCACAAAGTATTGATAAAATTTGTTAGATATTTGGAAGCTGAAAAGGGTCAAATTCACAAGTTTCCAGAGACTGTAGAAATCAGGGACCTACCATAGGAGATAAGTGAGTTCTGAGAAGAATAATGATTTCATATTTTAATAAAAACTAATTTTCTGATTGCTCAGTGTTACAGGGATTAAAGCGTGGATTTATCACTGTGATAGTGCATCCCTATTAAATGTCTAAGAATTTTCATTGAGCACAGCTAGGTAATCATAGTCTAATGTGCCTGCCTTTCTTCAACAAATATTCTTGTGTTTCTTTTAGTGAAAGTTTGAGCACTGTCCTCAAAAGCAGATCAATTGAGACATTTTTTTCCCTCAAGGAGAAAGTCAGCAATATGGTAAAGATGAACGGACATTTTTAGAGGACATAACAATAAGAAATATAGGAAAAATACTAATTTTATAGAATATTTAGTTCACAGTACAAATAATAACCTTAAATGTCAATTCATTATATTTAAAAACTATGATTACACATAATCTGTAATCAATACTTGTAATCAAAAGTTTAATTTTCTGTCAAAAATAGGAAAATATTTACTTGAAATTTGAGATCATTATTTTCCTGTCTTTATCTTCTACCTGTTTCATCAATTAATTGTTTTACTAAGTATGCTTTAGTCTACCAGTGTGACCAAATTTTAAATATATTCTATTTGTAATATGTCATAGTAAATATTTATCAATGCAAAGCTCCAGCTGAAGGCACATATTAATATTTGGATCAATTCTGAATTAATTTAATAAATATATTAAAGATTACATTTTCTTTACCATTTATAAACTTAATGAATTTCTAGCCAAAGTTTTAAATCCAGTATTTGATATATAATCAAGAAGATCAATGACATTGTTTGGCTTAGTGAAACTTTTGAAATCTCCATTTATTTCTAAATGATGTATTGAAATTTATATCCATTTAAAAAATAACTACAGACAGGACACATACTTCTTAAATGTGTATATTAATGAAAATGCAAATAAACTGTTCAAAAACTTTTTTGAAGACTCAAAATATATTTGTTCAATGTTAACTTTTTATAAAAGTGATTACCCTCATCTGTTTTGAGATTTACAAGTTTCATTACACTTTAATCAGAGCTCTGCATATTTTCTGTATGCCCAGTTTGTTTTCTGCAAATAAAATTGTCCCGAGTTTTCCACTCTCCCAACAAAACAGTTCCCAGGCAGGATTGTCACAAGAAATTTTGAAATCATAGAGACAGAGACAAAGTGTAGTTTTAAGTGATGGGGAAGTCAGGAGTCATCCAGCATTTTTGTGAGCAAGGAGGCACTGAGTGAAGTCCCACATCAGTATTTATTGGTATAGTAAGCAGTTGCTTTTGGTCATAGAATTATTTGTACAGATTATTTGTTTAGGTTTTAAGGTTCCCCAAAGGTTTCAGGAAATTCCTTGCCTAATTCTATCTATGAGAATAAACGTTTACAAATTTCTCCAAGTTAAACATTTTAAGGGCTAAGAATAGACCTACAGAGCATACAAGTGAGAGACAAAAATGCATAAAACAGGAACACTGAGCTTGTATACTAATCTAATCTATTTCTCTATATACCGAGACATGTAGTCAGGAGTGAAACAGGAATAGCCTTGAGGGTTATGATAGTTCCAGCAGCAGGTTGTCTGCTCAGCTGACATCCCTTGATCAGTTTCTTAGCCTTGGGCCCCAGGCTGAGCTCTGCATTGCATGAGTTCCAAGTGCCACCTTGCAGTCGCCCCTGATTGGTGTAATTTCCCACTTGTTGCTAAGCAGCTTCTGGTCTGTTAACTAACACGCCCATAGATTTCTTCAAGGCAAAGCCCTGCAAAACTCATGAAACGTTACATGTTTCTTAACCCTATTTCCCAACATAGAATGATGCTAATGGCTAAGATCCAGTGAGTTGTGGAGTAGCCATCCTTGGGGATAAACACTGCATAAGCTCTCAGACACCCATCTGATGCCTGAGACTGGCCACTCATTACACGTGAGACTTACCACCATTCACTAGAACCTGCTCTCTGGAATTATCTCCTCCTACTCTCTGGTATTCTGCTGATCTCTTCCTTTTATTAAATATATTTAGAAGCCAGTTGCAACTGGGGAAATTCCTGGGTGATGTGTATTGCATTACACACTGTAACTTTAATATGTACTTGGATTGAAAATGAAACAAACACCAAACAAATCACATAAAGCTGAGAGTGGATTTTCCTCAACAGTCATTTGTGAAACTGTTCCCATGAGGAAATTCTCAATCCTAATGCAGAGGCCTGGCCACATCGATGGCAGTACTGTCACAAAGCTCTTACATTCTCAGCACTTAGAGCTGCACAAGAGGCTAAGATTGATTATTTAACTTGTTTTCTTCTGAAAAATTCCATATGTCCATTATTCTCTGACACTTTAAATGGTAGGATGTTCAAAATTTATCAACTCCAATATCTCTCAGCTTTCCACTGACCTTTATTACTGGACAGCAGAGAATTAAGTTGCATGCAAGTAATCTACTGAATATTGATCATTTTGCCTACAATTACTATGTTTTAGCAACATAGATTTCCTGTAGCATTTTGGATCAATCAAAAATAACCAGGACAATAATGCCTTTTCTGAATGAATTTGGAAGCAGAGGAGCTCAAAATAATTCCAAAGTACTAACAGCTTCCAATCTAATAAGTCATGGTCATATGCATGGGTAGTTCTCTCTTGAGAACTAGAACCTCCAAACTACCTGACTAGATATTCTAATAATGAAAACCAAGTGTATCCAAGGGAAAGACTAATAGGACTCATTCCCACTTTCAATTTCTAAAGTTCTGGACCCTTGTATTCAAATTAAAGTAAAAAAAAGGAATTATATGTCAGACCATGATTTATAACATATACTACATCCTTTAAGATAGCACCTCAGATACCTGAAGTATTGTTTCCTAGCCAAAACCTTAAAGAGTTGTCGTTGGTATTGGAAACCTGCTAAAATTAGCAAATTCCATTGAAATTAGACCCTGCTGCATTTTTTGTCTATAAATGTATTTCTTGGTAATACTTAATGTTAAGATCAACATCATTTTGAATATGAATTATTCTATGCATTGTGATTATTCTATGTATTTCTATGCATTGTAGGCTGGCAGAAATAAATCTGTTATTTGTCAATTATAACTTCTGTGAAGAAATACTGATGCATTCTCTAACATAGAAAGTGACTAGTATAATCTGCTACATTATGGCTGGCTAGAACACTAGGGAGTAATGTCATATTGTAGAGGCATTGGGGAGACATCTGCAGTTAACAGATTGAGCATGTAGCAGCTGGGCTAGCTAGGTTAGACGCGGTGAGGTGAAATTTATGTTGTGGAGTCATTCATGGTCTCTGTCCAAGCCATAGTGGCTTTTTTGTATATGAGCTTTGTACAGTAACAAATTCTAGAGGATGAGGAAGAAGATACTGGCATCCTCATGGCAGTGCATCCTGTCCACCTTACTATTGAGGCAGTTCTCTGGAATGCATGCTTCCTGGTGGGAATTCCCATAAAATATGAATACCTACAAAATTTGTGCCAATTCCAAGCGTTGTATCCCCTAATTCAACCTCAGATTTTCTTACTTCCACTTAAGTTTTTCCCAAGTCCTTGATGAAGCTATTGACTCATTAGTCACTGGCCTTGAGTCTGTAGATCTGTAATACAGGTCATTGCAGCCACCTCTCTTCCCCCAAATATCCAAATGTAATGTTTCATGTTCTGCCCATAGAGAAAATCTTTTTAACCACTGTCTTTCAGAGACAGTCCTGAGTGTGGCTTATAAGTGAATACTCTTAAATTAAGTAAATAAGCCCAAATGCTTTTCAAGTTCATGTGACTTTAATAATCTTTGGTAAATAAAGATAATTTAAAATTATTGACAAAACAAATTAAAAATGTCTTAAAATTTAATTTACATATTTTTGTCTGAGCCTACTTGTTATGTTATTTCAATTGGATGTTTCATGGTCATAAAATTGTTGCTTCTGGAACAATTTTAATATTTGGTTTAACAGGTCTGTGAGTTAAAGCTGTAAGGGCTGACTGGTGGGGTGCTCCTAAGTCTTACACATACCTTGCTTTGAGCTTGTCTTTAGTTTTTAGCCCTTTGAATCTGAGGTCTAGAGGAACCATCAAGGTGAGGCTTCAGAACAAGACCCAGGCCTCCTGTGTTCAGTTGTTCAGATGTGTCAATTTACTTACTTTCCAAGTTTTTTACAAAAATATTGGTTACTAAGAGTTAATATTATAAGTAATACATATAATTAAAACTACTGGATAGAAATAAATACAGTTCTATGTGCAAAGGATATAAAGGACTTAGAATATATATTTTTATAAAGAGGTTATAAGACATAAAAATGTGTTTTTGTTAAAAAATAATTTAGCCTAATTTAAATGTTTTATTAAAATGTATTTTAACAAGCACCACATATACTCACCATCAAATTGGTATTAACTGAATAGCACCTAAGTGGTCACATAGGTACTACAGTAATAGGGTATTGGGCAGGTAGGAGGGGGGAGGGGGGCAGGTATATACATATATAATGAGTGAGATGTGCACCATCTGGGGATGGTCATGCTGGAGACTCAGACTTGTGGGGGGAGGGGGGAAATGGGCATTTATTGAAACCTTAAAGTCTGTACCCCCGTAATATGCTGAAATAAAAAAAAAGAATGAAAAAAATGTGTTTTAAATCAAATAAAGAAAAACAGGTAAAACTAAGTGAATATAAAAAAAAAGTGTCAAAAAGTATAAAAGACTATAAAAGGGTTATCAAAATCTTACCTCATGTTCAAATTGCTGAAAATCAAATAGATTTTTTTATAAAATTGTATTAAAATTAGCTTTAACATTTGGTACACTAACACAGAAGTCAAACTTCATTCTCTTTTAACAATGTTTTCATGTAATATTAATAGATATAGTAAAAGTCTTATTCACCTTCTTAATAAAGTGGAAAAAGAAAAAATGTCAGAAGAGAGACAGATTCAGTTTGCCTCTTTCTTCTGATTTAGCTTATCTTGATTAGGTCTTATGATTGTTTGACAAATTGAGTCTCCTCTGTATTAAAGAGTAAAGTTTGGGTTTTTTTTTTAAATATTCAAATCATCACTTTGGCTAAATGAAGGACTATTTTATAGTAACCTATGATCTTGGTTTATGACAAGTGTTTTAAATCTTTGACAATTGACAATACTTCCAAAATCAAAATTCTAAATTTAGTCTTTTTGATGTGAAACTAGCTTTTAAAATATTAAAGTCACTAAAAGTCAAAGAGAGACATATGTAGTCTTATTTTGCCTGTAAAGATCATACAGGAAACATTGGAAACTGTGAAATGGTGTTTAAATTTCTTTGTATAAATTTATATAAATTTGTATAAATATGTGATTAATATCTTTTTCTAAGATGTATAAGATTACTAACATTCTTATGTCTTGGTGCATGTTATTAATAATAATTATGGTTATAATGCTAAATTGCTGTGTGCCAAATAACAAAATTTTGTCAGTTATCTCT